CTTCCGTTCGACGTCATGCCATGGCGTGTATCGACGCTCGAGATGGTTACGCCCGAGATTAAGGCACTTCTGTTAAAATGAATGATTCAGTGGTCTGATTTGTCATGTCCTTTTATGCTCGAATACTGGACACTCAAGCCCACTGTCACAAACGAGTCTCCATAACTGTATATTCAAGCCTGTTCGTTTTGTGTCTGTTCACAACTATATTTTAAAAAGATGTTCCCTAATATAAAACGTTACAAGGTGCCAATATTTGTGGTTGTGTCGTTGCGAGATGGAAAATACATGGTAACGTCTTTTGGTCACGAAGGACACGTAGTCAACAAAGTCAGCAAGACCTGACCACCCAAACCACTACGTCATTTACGACCAACATGGTCGTCTCAATAAACGCGGAAACATCATGGATATACTGCTATCTGATAGCCTTGGAAATTAAGGCTGGCATGTGTCCTGTTGTTGACATCAAGAAATGACTTCTGACTGAAAGTAGAATCAAGAAAAAGCCAGAAAATTACAGAAAAACGTCATGCCGGAAAGTTCTGTAATCTGTGCTGGTTTAAACGCCGGTTGACATTTCACTTAAGTGAGGGAGCTGATGCAGATGATGTAGACGTTGCATGTTATACAGAGGATGCAGAAGTTTACCGCGGGTGTGAAAATCGTGTACTGATGACAAACAAAGAATATGAACACAAGCAGTGAGAACCGGTATTATATACCTCAATGCCCAAATATCGCTCTTTCAATCGAGTTGTTTTCCCGAAGGAACATCCTGGCGAGAGATAGCAGGGCCTTATACACCTAGATAACACCCTCAGCTCCTAGCAGGGCCTTACATACTTTTTAATACTATCCCAGCAGGGTGTTGGAAGGCCCTGCCTGGTTTCAGCTGTTTAATTAACTTTTCCACTAACTCGATACATTTCAAAGTTGTAAGTTTAGAAGCCCGACTGAAAAATATCTGTATTACTTAATTATCAACTGAAAAGTTTTTTATGTCGAATGCTGGGGTCGAACCACTAAATTCCTGTATTCTTATTGCAAATTCTACACTGTACTTCTGTGCTACTGGAACCGACGAATTTAAATAGCTCGTTTTACCCACTCTTCTACCCAGAGTTCCATGCGGCAAGCCAGCATAGGACCTCTGCCACAGGCCAGAAAAATATAACGTGACGATTCGTCACATTTTACACAGTCCATTCAAACAAATAAATATACAGATAGGAAATTCCCTCAAGTACGGTTAACATCATTTACCACATCAAACATGAACATTCACAGGAAACATACACCCCACCCCCCCCCCACCTAACGCTACTACTTTGGCATCTACTACAGCTGATTACGATGTACAACTGGGAATGGGTTTGGGGAATGAAACGCCTTTGAAAAGAGAGAAATGCTGTTGGATTCCAATCCGCGGAGACTGTATGTTGTTGGGGGAGGGAAGTGGAAGTGGGATGGTTTACAAAAAGAAAATATACGACAGCGAGTTGGAGCACTGCGAAGGAGTGGGAATTTGTCACAGCTGTGAACTTTCGGTAAATAAATGTTGGGACCTTATAAAAGCCATTAAGGACAATGTATCCAGGATTACTTCTGGACATGGCAAGAGGGAAGGGAAGACACCGGAAGAAAAGAGGGCCACTAAAAAACGTAAAACATCAAGGAGTCACCCTTGTCGAAAGTTATTTCAGTCTGTCTCTGATAGTCATGTGCCTTGTCCATCTGAAGGTGTGCCTGACAATGTTATTTTGAAATCATGTGAGTACCAATAGGTTCAGTTCCAAACTTACGCCAGTGGCAATTCAGATATACCTGGAAAAAGTACTTCATATTCTGAATCTGAATGTTCTAGTCCTCTCCGAGACAAGGGAGTTATCTGGAATTCACTCTACCATGATATTAAGGAAATCAGTGAAGGTCAAGTTTGCAATATAAAAGATGCTGCAGACAGTTGTAACGTTGAAAATATTGTGATAACATTGTGCAGCATTCTCCAAATTGAATTTTGCATGAAAAGGAAGATTTAAGAAGAGGTTGATAATTCTTGCAAACACTTAACTCAACAAAGAACCAATCAGTCCTCAGAACAAACCGACCAGTGAAGGACTTGTTAGATTGAGATTTACCCGACACGTGTTTAGATGAAATGTGCCAGAGGTAAGAATGCAAGTAATTAAATTTGTTAATATCAAAAAATTGATCTGTAAATCAATTAGGTCATTATTTGAATTTCAGTTGAAGTTATTTAGTAATATATGTGGATTTATTTGAATAACATTTGAATTACATGTACAGTACAACAAGAAATTATTGAGAATTTAAAGATTGTTATGTTTTTTTACTTTTTTCACTCATTACTCACGTATTAATGTGAATATTAGCAGAACATAACTCCAGATTCAAAGACAGGTGAACAGTTAGTATTTTGCCCGGTCACCATGGGCAGCAATGCAGGCTTCAATGCGGCGGGGCATACTACTGATCAAAGAAGTTAGAAAGTCGTGGTCCATGCTGTCCCAATATCGGACCACCTCTTCTTTCATTTCAGCAATAATTGTCAGATTGTTTTTATTGACACTTTCCTTTTTAAGTCCCCAAACATTTTCTATTGGATTTAGGTCAGGGCTATAGCTTGGCCAATCTAATAATGTCATATTTTGGGTCCGAAACCAGGCCTGTGAATGCTTTGAACGATGTTTTGGGTCGTTGTCCTGCTGGAAAATCCAAACATTTCCATAGAACACGTGAGCAGATGGAAGTAAATGTCCCTCGAGAATATCTCTGTACCGCTCACTGTTCATATTCCCTTCAAATACACAGAGGGGCGTTGCCCCTAACACAGATATGCCACCCCACACGTTAAATTTCGGACTGTACTTTGGGCGCTGATACAAAGGTTTTTCAGTTTGTTTGGTCCAGAATTTCAGTGTATTAGGAAACAGCCACACTGAACTTTCATCTGAGAAAATCACATTGTCCCAGTTAAAATTTCTATGCTGTAAGCACCACTTCAACCTTCGCTCCTTTTTGTTCAGGTTTCATGATCGGTGATGGAATTCCTCGACTTTTCTGCCAACCCATTGCATGCAGCTCAGTTCTAATTGTCTCCTTACAGACAGCCACAGTTCCTCTATCAATCTTATCCAGCCTTAATCTTTCTAAACGCCTACGTTTGTTTTTAGAAACAAGAATACCAAGCCGCCTCCCGTCACCGACAGTCAACTTTCTGGGCCTACCTGCGCCTCCCTGGTGCTAAATGCCATATCCCTTTGCAATATTTTTCAAAACATGATAAACAGTGGACAAAGGGATGCCTGTTCTACTTGAAATCACTTTAGCTGATCTGATGTCCTTGTTACAATACTCTAAAATCAACTTCCTCTTCTCTAAATCATCCATACTGAGGATCACTGAAAATGTCGTCTGCTAGCAAGTAAAGAAGGGGGAAAACTCTTCACAATCTAATGAAAAAGGATTAACGGAGTTGTCGCTCTTGAATGAAACCAAGCACTTGATAGCTGGTCAAGGTAACTAACCATTGTGAAATAAAGTGTAGTTATGAAAATATTTATATAACAATGTAATTTTGGCCATTCAAGTTCACTGTGCTGAAAACCTTTTTTTTTCTTAAAGGATCTTGCTAAAGGGACAATATTTGTTATCATTTCAGGGCTCCCATTTCAGATTCAAATTTGTATCATTTCAGATCCCCCTTCCTTCTTGACATGTTGGTTACTGTGGCTACACCCACATTCGAGCATGCCTCTAGTCGACACCATGGAGCCATATCACTGGTGTACAGCATCCTCATGTACATGAGGAATGAGCAGCTATCAGCATTTCAAATGTCATTTATGCAAATAAGACATTTTTCATATTTCACTAAACAGTTCCAGAAAACTCTATTCCATATGAATTCAGACTGAGGAAGTAAATTAGAGGAGATAAATGCATTGTGTAATCAAAGAATTATTGTGAAGATGAATGTACTATGTACATGTTATTACCTGTACAGGTTAGATCTATGGTTTCCTTCTCAAGTTCCTGAATGAGTTGTTTCGTTTGTATGCTATAAAAACTGTTCTTTCATAAATTTCTGAAAAGCTCCCTATCAACAAAAAAGCACCAACTGCTTTCTGTCATTTGCTGGTGAGATCAGCTGTAAAAAATTATATCCTGTGGATCAGTTTGGAGGCACTCAATTTGGAAAAAACCCATAAAACTGATGGAAGATTTAACAGAAATGAAGGCAACTTGGGAAACAAAGTATTTCAATACATTAATTTTATCATCTTTTCAAGTATAAATGATCAACATGCTGTCATGTGATTTGTGCTTTATATAAGTTATGCCATGTAATATACCAAACATGTAGCCTGTATAAACATTTACATATCTGTAGCTGATTCTTACCTTCTGTTCTTGCCCCTGTGTCTATGCTAGATCCAGTGACATGTAGCTGATTCTTTGCTTCTGTAAGCAATTTACTTTGTTCATAGAACTCTGGGATATGATCTTACATTCACAGATGTGCTATGTCTGTCATCCATTGTCTCTAATTGCAGGATAGAGTGATTTCCCCTTAATTAATGTCAGGAGAAAATATGATTTTATGATTGATTCAATCAATAATGTGAAAAATTAATTGTATCTGTATTTGATGTATTTTGTAACATTTCACAGTATAATAAAAATATCTCTAACATAAAAATGCATCGAATAAATTGTGAATTAGAAAAAAAGATACTAAGAATCAGGCATGTTCATTATTTCATTAAATTAGGACCCCCGAATGATAACAGTGAAGCATACAGAAACACAAAAAAAAAAAACAATCATGGGCTTTATATATATATATATATATATTCACAAATGATGGATAGATAGATAGATACAGACAGACAAACAAACATACATACAGGTTGGCTGACTCGATTGATTGATTGATTGATAGGAAATGACATACATATGTTCTATATTTCTAGTGCCTGATATCACTGAACAAGCTTGGAGTTACACTGTCTCCAACCTCCAAGATCACTCTACTTGATGAATGTGCCATACAGAACATGCAGACCATCATCAAAGCACTCCAGACATGTCCCTTATGCAACCTGGTTGGTGACAACTGTGATATAGGGATCCGTACTAGACATCAGGCATCAGATCACCAAGTCCAAGACTGCCATTACTTTGCCATCCTGCTCTTTTTTTCAAGGCTTGCAGAAACAGCCTTGAACCAGTCATTGAGGAAACCCTTCACCAGTCCCACAGATCTAACACCAGAAAAATTTCTTCTGCCAGAGAGAGGATGCTACTGCTGCAGTCTTACAAAGTATTAATGGGACGACGGTTAGCCAAATACATCCCTGCCCTGGAGTGGATGGCATCTGTTTTGCCAGATCATATTCCTCACAGGTACTTCAGTCAAAGTTGTTATTTAAAATCTGTTCAGTTTTATATTTCTGAAATCAGTAATGGTTACATCTTACATAACTCAATTGTAAGCCTACTTTTATAACACTCACTATGAGAAGGGGACCATTATAATGCCATTGCAGATATGACATTATTTAATGTGTGCACATTTGAAACTATGTTGTCTTTACTTTTGAACAAAACAGATTCTCTGACACAATGGCAAAGAAGTCCATCATAGTGCCATCAAGACTGATGATACTGAACGAGGCAAAGTATGAAGACTGCGTACAGATCCTGGACAATACAGAGGACATTTTGAGGGAATCTTTTTCTGAAGCATTAGGTAAGTTAAGAGTTAAGAGATTATTACATAAAATAATTGTAATCACAAGAAGAAAAATACAAATAAGTTCTTGTAAACAGTATTTTGGGTGCAACTTACCAGCACGGACACCATACCATAATGTGTTATCTCTTGGCATAACATTATGTATATGCATAGGTGCAGCAATTATAGGTAATGGAAGATACACTTAGGTGGATCCAGGAATTTTTTTAAATGTGGGTGGGGTGGGGGTTGGGTTTCAACCTTGACACCCCACCTCCCTCCTGAATCCACCAATGCAAAACATTAACTTCAATGTGGTCCTAAATAGTCTTGGTAACTTGATGATCATTGTTCACAAATAGTGTTGTGTATATGTTTCAATGCAGGTTCATCAGCTGAGCTTGAGAAACTAAAAGTGCCATTCTGGGGTGATCAACTAACACGGATACGCTTACAGTATGCCAAGCCTTTACGGGCACATGCACCAAATCCCATCAAGAGATTTGAAGATGTTGGCCCTTTCATGTGTACAATGTGGCACAACAAGCAGGATTTCTTGCATGTATGTCAATATTATTTCAACATGGTCATTTAATTGTAAGTTAATGTAATAAAGCCTGTGTAATTAAATTCATGTAATCATGAACATCCACTCTGAATCTATCTATATTTATGGATGGATGGATGGAGGACAGATAATTCATTTGATAAAACTGTGCCTGATCATATGATGTATGTGAAATTATAAGAAGAATACTTGTATGTCATAAAGATTTGTTAATGAAATCATCTGTGATCATTTGTTACGAAAACAAGATTTCTTCTTTTAATTTCAGAAAGCCTACAGACGCTTCTATAACAAGAATTCCGGGCGAGATAGAGGAAGTCTGTTTCACTTCAAGGTGTTTCTGCGCCGAACAAGCGTAGACGGCCAGGTGAAAAACAACTATACTGGCCATGAAGAACTGTTTCTCCTTATTGGCGACATGTTAATGGTGGAACAGGCTCTGGAATACCTGGGTATGGAAACATATGACTCTCAACCAACAAAGGTAAATTAATATGACAACAGACATTATCTTACCTTCATGCAAAATACTTTAATTTAAATGGTCAATGCTTTTTTTAACATTGCAACATAAAAATTATTCTGTCCAAAGAAAACAAACTTCTGTTTATTCAATGCAATAATGTAACACCTAAGAGCTTGGTTTTTATAATCATAACTCCACACGACCGAAACCAGCCTATTGTTTTGTGTGCCGTGTTACTGTACCCCCCTGACCTATAATGGAATCGTCTGACCTACTTATTTTTCTTGGAAGTAGACAGTTACGCAACAGTTTGAAATTGCGGACGGAAGATGTTTACCTTTGCGAGAGGTTGAAATTCGAAGTGACAGTGGAAAATACTTGACTGCCTGTCGAATCTGAACCCTGCAGAATCGAAGAATGGATCCTTTTCTGATCGACCCACGACCTGTTACTCATCAAAGACTGTTGATTTTTATGACCGGCGGGTGTCGATCATGATTTCACGTACGTGCCTCCACCCCGGCATGCGACGAAAGAGTGACAGTGCTGCTTTGTGTACATGCGACTAACTTGGGATTCCTTGGAACATTATATTGTTCTCATCATTTGGGACTGGACTGTGACCAAGCCTTTTTCGGGAAAGTGTACGTCATAGCAGTGACAGCCTTGCGGGGAAGGTGGCAGAGGGCGGAATTCTCGTGGTTCAATTTTTGACATTTTGAACGATGCAAAGGGATATGGAGTATGAGTGGCATATATTTTGTGTTTCGCCTGGCCGTTATCTTGCGAATTTCCCATTCTAAACGGAAACAAATATACCATTTACCAGGTAGGTAAAGGTTTACGAACGTTTTGCTGCACAAATAGGGATAGATAGGGATGTATTTTTACAAGGTTTTCTGATTTGTAAATTATATGTTAGATATTGTTTGTTTATGTTTGGGACTGTGTATTGTAATTGAGTTTGAATATTTTTAGAATAGAAGGTCATAATTATGATAGTGAGGTTCCCTAATAATTGTAGAGGAAAAATTGTAAAATTGTATTTTTCGAGTTTTAATAAATGTTTTATCAGCATTTCCATCATGTCTGTTGTGTTGATATTAGTCATGTTAGTGGCCATGCTGAAGTAGTGATGTATACGTGCGCAGTGAAGCGCCGTGAAATCAGACGCATTGTCAATCCAAAATTGATACCGTCTGATTTTAGTGATTGACCAATCAAATTCGAGCATTTCACGTAGCCATGGTAGAATGACGCTTTAACAAGTCTCCGTGTCACCCCTCCAAGGAGGATGACAACTGGTAAAATATGAACCGCTGCCACAGTAACCGGCAAACTCTCAGCCAAGAAGCTGTATCACTAACAATCGTATGACGTCAAAATATGTCCCTTGCTCATCCACCACCATTTTTAGTAGGCGCTGGGAGATTAAATAGCCAAAAAAGTAGGATGACGAGATGGGGTGAGCCAAAACCTCCCTCGTCATACTACTTACATGGACAATCCCATTGATTGGTCATGTTCCTGAAAATGGCTTGGTTTTAGAATTTATATTTTTATTGATACAATCAATTTATTAATGGGTATTCTTAAGATCGGCATGAGATATTTTGTACCCCACCCCATCTCAATATTTTGTAATAATTTGACTGCAGTTACTAAGTGGAATGCTGTTGAAACATTTAAATGGATCTTATTTTGATATCTTCAGATCATTATTCCGGACAACATCATGAGATTACCACGACACACAAGAGCTGATCTGGCGGACAAAGTCCTCATTGGGATACTGAATACCTATGACTATGGGAATTTTAGCTTGGCACAACATCAGGAGAGTTCTATTAATCCACCTATACACAACAAGATACAGACTGTGCATGTAGTAAATGGCCTCACTCCTGATGGTGAAATAATTTTCAGCCAACAGGATGTTCCGGTACAGGAGGACGAAGTCCTCAGCTATTGCAACAATCTTGCCCAATGGGCAATGCAGCTTATGCATATGAATGACACTGCCAAGGAAGGAGATATTGACAGAATGGTGCTTGGCTGTAAAGCCAACATACCATTTTTTTACTCACACAGTAAACTTTCAAAATATTTTGTTGAGAACATTGATATTTTGCTGAAGACTCAATTCCTAACATCGCCACAAATGCAGCTACGACTTTTGGAAGGAAGCTTTGTCAACCCACGGGCGGTTTAGGCAACAATGTTGAGACTGACCTTGTCATGGAGCATTCAGTAAGAAACAAAAAAGATCTCATTCGTCAACTTGGGGCCAATAAAACAGAAAAGGCCATACAACGAGCATCTTTGGCAGCTGACACAGTGGCTAAGCTTACATCATCGATCAACCAAAGCATTGGCACCAGGTCAAAATCATCTCGTCACACAAAACGGGATTCAGAAGTTGACAGGAAAAAAGTTCAAGATGTTTTCCGTGAACTGCGTCCATTTAAATTCATGGCTGGTAGGAGGTTTGGCGGAGGAAAATTATCAGCACAGCTCAAATTTTCATGGCATCAATCTTCAGGCAATGAGAACAGACATGGAACGTGTCATCACCAGATTGTGTAGAGGACAAATGGTAGAAGTGGATCCTGATGATGAATATGAAGAGAATGATGGTTTGCCATCTATTTGACACTGTATGTAATGACATTCAAATTGTATGCCATGCCTTCATGATCCTCATTGGCCTGAAGGTGTTTTCATTGCTGTACGTAAATCTAAACTCACTTACACATTTAAATATCTTAATCTGCATATTTCTTACAAGTAATACATTCATGTCTCTGAATTTTGGAAACAAATTCATGTAGTTTAACCTATATGCCTCACCAAACATGTGAAGTTCTGTATGTCATAATCATGTACTTAAGGAATTAATATATGACATATACATAAGGAAAAGAATTAAGCATCCCCAGTATTTTTTCAGAATTGAATATGAATTGAAAGTGTTGTTGGGCATTTACTATAAGGCACATTTTTATTCTAGTAGTAAATTCCAAGGTTAACCTTTGACATCGCCAGGCTCTTGCCAGGCACCCATAGCCATTACAGCCTTGTCACTCACGGGCTGATAACATCTTCACTGCTGAGGGGTTTTGGAGGTTTGCACCCCAGCCTTTAAGTTACCACAAATTGTCACCAAATCAAGTTTGACAAGCAACCCTAGATCATTATCAAACCACCACCAAAGGCAACTGTTGGAAGGATGTTCCTAGATGCCAATCCTGTATTTTGCCGTCACCATACTAGAGCATCTCCTTGTGATGTTGAAAACAAAGCCTCTGGATGTCATAAGATCACATCATAGAGTCCAGATTCATCAGTCTCACATTCCTAGAATAAACAGATGACACAATTCATCATTTACCTAATTACTTTAACCATATTTCATATTCTTAATCATATTTATATATTTGAAAATACCTTCACGCTATATTACTTTTCTTGAACAAATCAAATCCTTCAGACATTATAAAACATATTTGAACTTTTGACACATTACAAGACATTATAACAAAAATTGTATTTGTAGGTTGACAAGGCAACAACAGTCAAAATAAAAACTTATGGATGAAGCGGTGGCGGTTTCATGGATTTGTCATGCCTAGGGTCAAATTTATAAGTAATATACATCAAGTAAACATGAATGATTCTTTTTTCGGAAGGCGTAACTTGAGTTATACATAGATATGGAAAACCAATTTAAATTATTCTTGGGTGAATGGGTTTTTACCGGAACTCTTTATAGACATTTTGACAAGGATATGGGCAAATTAATATTGCGATACTGCTATCTGTTTCCTTAATACACATAAACAAAGTTTTTGAAGTATTGTAAACTTTTACTTGCTCTTACGTTTAATTTTGGCTGATAATAATCATTGTAAATACTTACCATACAATATTCAGTGAAGTCATAATCATCTCGAATGGTGGTCCCTTTACCGCTCACACTGAGCCTTCATGCCTTAAGGCCACGCTTAGTTATGCTTATCACCTGATCCCTCTGTATAATATTCAGGGGAGATATTACCAGGATAGATCCTGAATCATAACCTTTCTTTTGGCGAAGAAGCGGACCAAGCTGGTGCAATATTAAAGACTTGCCGTAACCGGTCGGAAGACAAACTATACAATCACTTTCTTCCGTGTAAACATACCGAAGAGCTTCCCTCTGATATGGTTTCAATATAGCAGAATCACCATACAATTGCAACATGTTATCTATAACGGATTGAAAGCTATCCATTTCCTTGTATGTGTCTGCGCGTTGTTTTGTTTACATTCAAGGAAAGTAGTCCGTCTTTGGTAACGTGATATGCAAATTACACATGAATGACCTCCATCAACAAATGCGCCAATGTGAGTAGTCCAGTCACGTGATATGCAAATTATCCTGTGGCAGTGATGTTATGTTAAGTCATTACTGCGCCGGAGTGTGCGTTTTACCCTGCTGTACTTGATATGTTTGGATTCACCGCCTTCACGGACCGCACGTACTCGTCAGCAATGCATGCACGGACTGCACGTGCACATGCAACCTGTCATGTTCATTTCAAAGGAGGGGTGTGGATTTCAGACGAGACTGAACAGGGTCGAGCGAAAGACAATTTTAAAACAAAAATCATCAACGAAGGCATCATCAGCTAACGCATCCTCGGGTGTTCCCAAGGTCAAAGGCCTCGCTTTGCTGGAACGCCCGAGGGTGAGGGTGTTATCCTTAACTTCAAACCCACGAGCAAAGGCGCCTTAGACTACTGGGCCACTAATACACCCAGTGACTGGAGACAGTTGATGTTAACTTCACAGTTCACAGCTTAACACGGCCAAACTTTGATACTGAAAACAAAACCACGTTATGCCGAGGTAACAAAGTAGAACTATTGGCATTTATCAGTCTTTAGGTCGCTGCTGTCTCGACGAAACAGTTTTCTTATATGTATGTGTCAAGCTGCATTAAAAACAACTTTAACTGGCTTGTGTGGTTGAAACTGTTTCAGTTAAGTTTCATTTAAAACATTAACACGTGGTGTGGTTGAACCGTATCATCTAATGCCATCTCACAGACTGGACGGTAGCATATTCATGGTAATGTCATGACCATATTTCCACTCACTCAGACGCTGGGAAATCTTACCCTGTCGATGTCGTGTTGAGTGTATTCCTTGTATACCCTGTGTCTACAATCGTACGTACGTACGTGTGATATGTTGTTAAACAATATTACCATATCCTGAATTACATTGTTTCAATGACGATTCAGTTTATTCAAATATCTAAATGGCTTTTCATATGAATAAAATCCAGAGGCCAAATATCAAAACCAATTTCTGATCCGGCCATTGAACATCATTACATGTAATAGGCGTTGTGGTTGTTCAATTCCATGTATAAGGTGAACGATACAGGCAACAATAGCAAACTGACACGAACTATTACCTCGAAACTAGATCTATGCATAAAGACCCTTGACGATCCTGGATAGAATTGGTACAAGTCAAAACATTGATTACACAGCAGTCTCGTTTCCTGCTGACTGGGTTCCGTCCTATTGCGCAACTTAGTACAACAACCAGTCCAGAATTTTGAGACCAACTTATTCAGCTGGATATATAAATATTAATCAGTATTATTTGATAATCTAATCACTTGTATATCGCAACACTACTCTCCTTCTTTGCAAACACGTCGTGCAGCATGCTCTGTCGTACAGCGTGCTCTGACAAACAGAAACCTGGAAATCGTGGAAATCTCAAAACGAGGCTTGGTCGCGAGAAACGTTTGGCGATCTGGTACGAACTTGATATTATATCAATCACATCGTACGTTACAAAAAATACTCTTAATAAGCGCAAAAGAACACGTAACCAGTGAGTCAGATGAATGGTGAATCATTGTACGACCTCTTCAAACAGGGGCAGTCTGTGACGTCTTGTTAACGACATGCTGCCTACACCTCGACATAAAATATAGAAATACGATTTTTTTACGCTTGGAAATTAAAATTGATGTGTAAATACCATTTTCTTATGTAACAAGGAATTGGAATTTAGTGTAACTATAGTAGTTTGTAGTGTCTCTTTTCACTTTCACACGAGAAAATTCGGATCGGCTGAAAAGTAGGTCATTGTCTGAATTGGTTAATGAGATTCACGTTTCGGTTTGTACAGCAAACGGGACCTCGCTGACCTCTTTGGTTCATGTCATGGTATCCCAATTAGATCTATGCACATGATATCATTCACTGGACTGTCTGGTCCAGACTCGATTATTTCCAGACCCCAGTCATACAGGTTTGACGAGTTAACAGTAAAACATTATACGGTTAAGATTGACTTTTGTGTAGAGACTGTTGAGGTGTTATATCTGTTGACTCCTCTTCATTAAACTTGTTGCCTGAAATGATGAGGTGAGCCATTCGTAACTACTCGCCTCTTTCCGTGACCTACAAGAAGACTCGTACCCCTATCGTACGCCATTATTGCCAAGAATCGTGGCAAACCAATCAAATCGCGCTTAGTAAAACGCATTTCTAAGCATGAAAATGGCGGCACCATTGAACTTTGAAACTTCGCTAAACTATGTAAAGCACAATTTAAACATAAACTTTGAGCTAAAGGATCAGCAACTTTAAACACTCAAACATATTTACGAAGGGAATGACTGTATTGCTGTTTTGCCCACGGGATATAGGATATTCTCGAAGCCATGTTTGGAAATTCAGAGGTATCTTTCCTTGGTAAATGTACAAGACTATTTTCATCTCCATGCCCGTTTGCGCTTAGACAAGGCCAAGTCGTAAACATGGCCACGAGAGGGGTACGAGACGCCATCCGGCTTGCCGGAATGACACGAGTAGTTACGAATGGAGGTGATCTACAGAACCTTTTGACATTATCTTTTAACGACGCTTATTACTAAGTTTCATCGACTCCACAAAACGATGATCATAAAGAGAAATTAGGATGAGGGAATAAATATACAGGAACTTGTAATCAGTCTGTTAAGGTTGTAGCAAGCCTTCATGAACACTGCCATTTAAGTGAATATCATTGATGTAACAAACATTGTCAAGATCGTGAAACATCAAATCTCAGTCCGGAAGTATGGCTGGTTTTCTTCGGCACAGTGCCTGTTGGGAGACGGACAAGTGTGTGACGAGATGAGGAAAACAGGATGCTACGGTACGCATGAAAGTAAAGATAAGTAAAATAAAACTGTATATTTGTTATTGGCAGGTTCATTATTTTTTATGTGAACGTACTTCCAGGTTCTGTGGTTAAGGGTAACATAAGCGCTGCACTTCAAGAAGTTTCCTCTCCGAGCTGCAATACACAGCTGGGGGCGAATCCAAGATTCGTCGGACGCTTTGTCGGTCATCAATTTATCTCTTTACGACCCATGCGTGTCTTAAGAGGCGACTACCGGGGTCAGGTGATCAGGTTCGCTTGACAAACGTCATCGTATCCCAATTGCGTGGTTCGATGCTCGTGCGTTTATCACTGGAGTGTCTGGTCTCGACTGGCTTATTTACAGACCGCCGCCATATAGCTGGAAAATTGCTGACTGCGGCGTTAAACAACAAAATATACCAAACAAAACCAAAAATCATTTTATTAATTGGGCTGT